GGAAACTAACAAATCACTTTTGCCATCCCGCCATTCTCTTCTTTTAAATCTCTTTCTCTGCCACCATCAAAGGGTTTGTCAGTGTGGATTTATTCTTGAACGAGGGGGGAGGAATTTTAATGCAAAGTTATTCCTCACATAATTATAAATATACGCCTAGAGATACCAAAATTATGCTTTAAGAGTGCTCAAATAGGAGCAGATTCCTAATGTTTTAGCCTGCATATGCGAGAGAGACGTAGCGCCGTGACGCCCAAGTTCTCTGCGCAGCGATTTAAAACTCTTCAGCGAACCACACACTTTCTCTGAAAAATGACAACGCATAAAAACTTTCAAAAATACACGAAACACTGTGAAGATTTTTTTTTAAATTTATAAATCTATTATTGTATGGGGTTTTGGTGCGTCAAGAACGAGCAAATCAGCTAAAAACTTATCTCTGATAGACAACAAAGAATGTGGTAAAGGCTTTAACAGTGCTAATGCTACGACGATAAAAATAGAGACTTCAGAGAAGACAACATTTTTTTAAAGTAAGCGAAAAACCTACGCCGACAACAAAGATTATTCTGGATACCGTGTTCCTTCAAACATATTTGCTAAGATAATTTGGCAAACAATTATACAAGAGTAGCCAAAGCGTGAAAAGTCCCGAGACCGAGAGTTGCGCGTGACTGGCTGTATGAGTGTCTGACAGGCATTTTATGGCACTTTTCTCACGGATACCCATAATTTTTTATTAATTTAAGTTTTTGCTAACATCATCATAACAATTGCAGAGCGCTCAGCGATTGTCGCCAAACGTGGCCGCTATCTACTGTAAATGTCTAAAGCTTGTCACATCATCACTCTCTCAACGCGGCTCTAAAATCCTCAGGAAAATATATCACTCCCCACTTCACACGAAAGCTCCACAAACACGTCATGGACGTCGTATTCACGTCAAAATGACGCAGGTTTAGCCTTTTTTCCCAATTTTATGACCAAATTTTAATCCTGATGCCGTCAATATGACGCCCACACGCGACCTTTTTCGTGTTTATCGGGCAGATGCGACCCATTTCAAAATTCATTTCAATAAAATCTCTCTCTTTTTTTAAACCACTTTAAAGAACACAATGATTTCAAGATAACTAAAAAGAGACAAATGCGGGACGTTCGCGCGTGGATCCGGACGTTGCTATATAAACAAGGAACAGTTTCATTTCCCGCACTCACAGCCCTCGATGAGAACACACAACAACGAGAAGACGCATGAGATTATTATTATTTTTTGTTATTAAAAAAAAAAACGAAAGAAGAGAAAAAGGTTGAACTCTTCTGCTGGCAGTAAGTTGTATTGTCCGCACGGCATCCCCCGCGCGCGGGAGCAACACACAGGAATGTGACGAGTCAGTCGTACTGAAGCCAGCGCTTCGACATCGCAACGACGTCAGAGAACGACGTCAGAAGTAAGTCAAACCCCGACCAAAAAAAACGGAGATCACCGTCGATACGACGTGGTCGCGACGTCGCCGTGCTGCGCCGCTGCGCCGCGCGCGGGGTGCTCCTCTGTCGTGCGGCGAGAGGGGGTTGTTGGCGCCGTCCTGGCGGTGGTGGTGGTGGTGGTGGACGTGACGGCGGCGAGGATGGCGTCGTGGAGGACGAGAAGAGTCTCGGTCCGGCGCGTTATAAGAGGAGCCGGGCGACGAGCACGGTGGCGGCGCCCGTGGCCAGCAGCAGCGGCAGCGGCGCGCCCAGCCGAGCAGGCGCCGCGTTGCACAGGTTGCCCTTGCACGAGCAGTACTGCACGTTCACGTCGTGCGTGCCCGAGCGCGACGCGCACAGACCGCCGTCGCGGCCGGCCTCCTCGATGTACCCGCACGTCCTCACCACCCGGATCTTCGTGCCGACTGCAAACAGAGAAACGCCATTTGTTAGAGGACGTAAGGTTGGAAATTTCTAAAATTTTCCTGAAAATTTCCCGAAAATAACGGAAAACTTTCCAAAGTGTGGGAAATTTCCGGAAATTTTTCTGAAACTTTCCAGCCCTTCCAACCCTAAGAAGACGCATCGAAAATCCCAAGTGAGTGAATGTCGCAACACTCGTATACGTCTGTCAACGACATTAGTACACATTTAAAGTGTATGAATTCAAAGGAAAATTTACACTTTCACTTTTTTATGTGAACGATTTGGCGTGCACAAGCACACACCTACAAGTGTGTGACATTCACGCACTTGCGTTTCCAGTACACTTGAAAAAGCCCTCGGCACTATGTTTTGTTATACATTTTTCGGTAAATTTACGACAGCCCTTGCTTCCCCGACATGCTCGTCTATCAATCCGAACTCGATACTCATTGTACTTGTAATTTTGCAAGGTCAAATTGGTATTTTACAACATTTTTTTTCAGAAAACCTACAATTATTTCTCATGCTGCATCACTTCATGTGGTGTATACTTTCGTTTTTGGGCGTTATAGTTTACTATGGATGAGGTGACATTTACAGAAATTCCTGGTTGCCGGCGGGCGGTGCGGTAGTGAGATTGCGATGGGGGGAGCAACGACGACGAGGGAGAAGGGTCTGAGGTCCTCTCCCTGAGGTCCGTATGGTGTTTATAGGGCCACCTCAATTACAACGTCTAGAGGGCGAGGAGGAGGGATGCCGGAGATGGGCAGAGATGGGCTAGCTCCCTTCGTGTCTCGAACGATAATTCTACCCCCTCCCCTATCCCCGGGGCGGTGCAGCGATGCAGCAAGTGCAGGCTTCCACCGCAATCAGTACCCAGGCAGCAGGCCGGGGGCCGCCTATTCCAGACTAAAACACACCGCCAGAAAAGACGTTTAAATAGTGAACTGCGCGGCCGGTCTCCAAACTGTGTGAAAAATATAGTTGTAAGGTTAAGTTGTCCTCGACACGTAACGTAAGTTGTAAAAATACATGCAGTACGTATCGACCTGAACTTGAAATCAATTGGCAAGCAAAACAAAAAATGTGCTCTCGGAAATTTACAATATAACTCAAATTATAATTCGAGTTTACAAAATTTCTGTAAACTTACGACGATATGTTTTTCACAGTGATGTGTGCTTATAGGCGTCTGTCTCCTGTTGCTGCGAGGGTTGCAAACAGACGAGAGGGAAGTTGTTTCATGTTTGTATTTTTGTGGTCTGAGAGCGGACAGTGGCGCGGGGACAGGACAGGTGTGTTGTGTTGCGCGCAGAATGCAACGTGAGGGTTTAATAATTGTTGTTATTGGAGGAGAGTGACAGAGTCGCGGGGCGGCGGGGCGGGACTGCTCCGCGTGGTATCGAAAAACCGAGCCGCGGAGACAGCGATCGCAGAGTGCCCCCCCCCCCTCCCCTCTACTATTGGATTCTCTTTGTCTGTCGTGGCCTATTTGCAGACTCTGTATATGCCCGACTGTTATACACGATACATGTAAAATGTACCGGCACACGCAAAGAGACACGCCAACAAAACCAATAGCTTTTTGTTTTTTTTTTCTTGGATAGCCAAAGAAACGACATATTCTGGGTTAGGTGAGGTCGTTTTGCGTTTAACTATAGGCATCACACCACGTCGAAGGATCGAGCCAACACGACATCGACTTTAGCGTCGCACGAGGGGCCAATACGGGACACTCTGGGCGGCAAACGGGTGCCACATTACGTCACTGTAAATTATTTGTGCGTTTTACGAGAGAGAAAAGTACAGTTACAATTTCAAGTTGTTGTTTTTTTGTTGTTTTTTTTTTAAATAATTACACTATACATTACACTATATAAACATATCGAGCGAACATAAATAATTTCTATAGTTTTAAAACCGTCAATTCCCCCAAAACATTGCAAATTAACATGAATCTTTTTCACTGTAGCCCCTCTGCTCCGCCCGCGCCCCAGCCCCAGCCCCGGGCGGTTGGGCGGGGCCGGGGCGCTCAGGGCGGGCCGCCTGCTCCCCACGGCTGCTCGCCGGGCAGGCCTACCCTGCGCGTTGCAGGCGCTACACGGTGGAAATGACGTTTACATCGGGTCCCCTTCTTGGGCGGCTGCTCGGGCCTCCTGAGGCTCGGCCAATTTGAGGACTTATTCACTTTGGCCGTAGACAGTTTAAGTTCCTTGCAAGCCCTGAAGGCCTTGATGTTCACCGAAGTTCTCACCAGCACCAGACAGGGATATTAAAGAGTGTTTTTTAGGCCCCCCCAAGGGGGCCTTTCTGCTCGCGTGCGAGTGCTTCTTTTTAGGCCCCCGATGAGGGGTGCCTATTGCTTTCGCCCGAAAGTTTATTCTTGACGATGGCCCCTTATGGCAGAGCCAATCGTGCCTAAGGGATCTTAACGAAATTTGAAAAAAAAATACTACAGAAAATTAGAAATTTTTTGAAATATGTTTAGTATAATTTTGTCTGATGAAATTTGAGAAATTTGAGTTTGCATCCACAAGTTTCCATGGAAATGACGAGCTGAGCTGCAGGCCGAGTCGAGCCAGGGAAATTTCCACCAATCACAAATTTGCGCGGGAAAGTTCGACCAATGGAATCGATCGCCTGTTGCTTTATACAACCCTACCCAAAAATTATTTGGCCCTGGCGTCGATTCGGTGGTCACGTTTAAATAATGAGAACTGGCCGCCGTGTATAAAGATGCAAGACAGATGCCGTTTTGAACGCAGCCGCTGACCGCTAGCCCCGGCTTTGATTGTTGGCTAGGACTGTAATTCCGCCTTGTAATAATTTCGTTTGAAAAGGCTCGGGAAGTATACTAATGCAGCCAACCTATAACTGAAAATAGATATTATGTTTTTACCTTATTTAAGATTATAAGTGTCAACATATAATATACAATACGTTTAAATGTATACGTCTTTTATGTGTGAAAAAATTATCAGTGATCTCTTAATCTAACGCTGTGCTAGTAAGATTTTTAAAAAGTTTACGTTTCTTCTCTTGTATGTTATGGCGGTATTATTACAAGCGACGTAGCGTATGCTGGTCTGCCAGTGCTCGTTTGAATTTGTAGTTTGAAGTCAGCTTAACCGCAGTATGATGAATATTATCAGTGGATCGTTTGATCAATCTGATTATCGACGATTTCCTAGATACTATGGTCGTCAATGCACGGCTATTGCAGTAACAGCATGCTGTAAAGCTCATGCTCTCAACCCTAATGTATGGAATTCTAAAACTATTGACGA